TCAAACGTTTTACACCGGGGTTTTATACGTCCGTTTATATCGTTTTATATAACGGGCGGCCGCCATTACGCGCGTTTCCCCTTTATCTTTGTTTTTACGAAGGAGCAGCGCGTACCTACATTTCGTCCTGATTAGATAGACGAGCTTCCTCTCGCACCCACGCCTGCGAGTCACAAACCTTGCTCTCGATTCCGCCACTTTTCTGAAAAGGGCCGCGATAAAACGCCCCCTGAAACTTTAACGAGAATCATCGAAGCCGCCCGGAGTCCCTTCAATCTTCCCACTTCCCTTTCAAACTGCGCTTCGCTAAATCCAGCAAGACAAAGGTTGCCCAAGTTTTTCAGCCTTTAATAGCAGGCTTCAAGATCTTTCAGACTTTCCTTAGTCTTTCCACGACTTTCTCTCTACTATTTTCAACGACGAGTGTGACACCTCGATTCCGACCGGGTTGACTTCGCGAGTGCGGACGAAATTAAAACTCGCGAAATTATAAAATCACGCGTACTGCTTACTCTTTAGCTTCTTTAGCTATATTCTATTTACTTCTTCTCGAATTTTCATTTTCCTTTTTTTACTTACTAAAGTCCTCATGCAGTTCGTTAAGCGCAACGACAGAGCGCCACAGGTGGCGTGTCCGTATTATTTTCCGTTCCGTAACACGGTCTCATCAACGCCAGCCTCTTTCTATATTACCGAATAGATTATTTACGCGTTAATAACGTTCCAGCCATTCCACGATCGTTCCTTGTCGCGGCACACGTGCTACCACATATCTCCTTCGGTTGTCCACCGACCTTTATCGGCGACTTATCAACCGGCAGCGTTTTGTACGCGGAATTTTATGTACCTACATGACTCGGTTTTGGAAATTTTCTGGGAGAACGCGCGTAAAGGGAACAGTGAAACCTTTTTTCGTACACAATTCATTGCATTGTCGTCGAATGTATCGGGTAGTGTATGTGAAAGTTACTAAAATGTTACTGATTTAAATAGACACATCTATTTATTTATATATCTGATTTAAATATGTATTATATTAAATATGTATTATATTAAATATGTATGTCTATTGATGAAGAGCATAACTGTAACCAACGACAATGAGAAATTGTCGATGATTTAAACTGACGTAACTCATTGTGAAAAGAGAGATCATACAACTGAACTTCTTTTCATAGCGTAGGAACTCTATTTTGACAGTCGATTTTTCGAAGGTGAATTTACATCATGTATCGAGTGCGGAGACAAGGAGTTTTTCAAACTCGTGTGAAAACATTAAAAAATTTTCTCGCGATCATCATTTCACAGAGTGAAGTCTTCCCTTTACCATTTTAAAGGAGTGAAACCCCGAAAAAACGTTTTTTCTTTTTATCGAACGAATGAATATTAGAATTGAAGAAATTCCAACATCTAACCCTAATGTTCCAAGTTCAGTAAAATGGCCTTTTGAAAATTTCAATTTTAATTAAGAATTTAATGGATTTATTTATACGAAGAAAATTGCTTTCGTACGCGTATAGATATAATTTTTCGCCAAGAATTTTATATGATTCTATTTCAGGTGGAATGATATATTACGTCTGTTGCAACTACAAATTAATCCTTCAACTATATAAATCTTCCCAAATACAAATAATAATTTTCTAATTTCCTAATCACAGACTGCTCGATCCTGCCAGGCAATTAATTCTTGGTGACCTGTGTCACGCTTGTTTAAAGCAACGAGCTCCAAGATTCGTAGAACAAGGTAATTCTCGACTAATCTGTCGGTTGGATTTCATTGCAGGAGAGAAGCCGTACAAGTGCAGCTGGGAGGGTTGCGAGTGGCGATTCGCGCGTTCCGACGAGCTGACGCGCCACTACCGCAAGCACACCGGCGCGAAGCCGTTCAAGTGTAGGCACTGCGACCGATGCTTCTCTCGCAGCGATCACCTAGCCCTCCACATGAAGAGACACGTGTAATCGATCGTCACCGCGAACGGTCCACAACACGCGGAACAGTCCAGGACCGGCAGACGGAGCTCCTTCCTTCCCGAGGATCCCCCAAGTCGTCAAACGACACGGCCTCCTCGTGATCGCGTTTCTTCCACAAACACCTGACGACGATCCTCACACACGTAGTAGCCATTATGTACTCGATCGTCGGCGATCGACCGCGACCCACGGCCCTCGATTTCGCCGCGGTTTTCGTCGCGCGCGGTGTACACAAGATCGCAAGACACACCGCGGAGTACTTTAATAGCCCTCTGGAAGTGGGCGATCGATGATGAGCGAGACGATCGGTGAAGAACGGCCACTTAACGGCGTCGATCGACGAACGACGAACGATCATCGCGTTTTACAACCGCGTCGTCGAGACTACGAGACGAAGACACTTGACGGATCGACGGCTGCGATTGGAAATTGCAGTCCGAGGGGGGAAAAACGTGAACGTCACTCTCCGTTGTTCGAGGCAGTTCGTTCGGTCAGGAAGGTGAGGAGTGGGAGATAAGGAGAGGAAGCTCCGATGGTATTTTCTACGCGAGACACTACCGCTGGCACTAGAGACGGATGAGCAGACAACGATCAGACGCGAACGACTGCGTACCGTTGATGCGATTAGGCGAAGCCTACGGGGGACGAACAGTCGGGTGACAACGAGCGACAAGTCTCGTCTCGAGATGTTAATCACTGCCAATTCATTAAATTCTAAGATCAGCGCGAATACCGTCGGAGATGTCGTCGAGTTGCCTACGCGTACGGCCGCCTCAGCATCGGTGGGGGGACGTGCGCGATTTGGAAAGATCACCCGGCGACAGCGGTGCACATTCCACTCGCGCGTGAATTCCTGTAGGATCGTCTGCCTTCCGTAAAACGGTCGAATTCTACAAAACCGAAACCGTAGGACTGACCCAGGAGAGAGAGAGAGAGAGAGAGAGAGAGAGAGAGAGAAAGAGAAAAAGAGGCAAAAGATACAAAAAAAAAGAAATAACAAAGTAAAATACGTAACAAGAGACTAACAATAAGAGAAACCCGATGAAACGATGAAACAGACACAGTTGGAGAGACACATCGATCAGTTTCAAAGGCGTCGCGTTTGGATTCGAACAAAAGTCAAGGAAACCCGATTCGCGAGGACAATAATAACGCTGTCTGTCGGTGCCAAAACGTTATTTCCTTCACTCCTTCATTTCACCTCTCTCTTCTTCTTTCTTACACGTGTACACAGGGAAAACATATTGCACATCGCACGTATCACACTGTCCTCCTCTGTCTCCGTTGTATCCCGATGAATGGATAGGCCACGGGGGGTTGGGAAACGTGCACGACGCTTTTGAGCTTCGATCCTTCGACCGGTGGCAATAATCGAAATTGTATTCGCGACCCGGTGGAACGCGGAACCGTGTCACACGAGGGTCTGTTGTAAGGGGGCGGCGGACGAGGCCACGGTGAGAGAGGACGAGCCGTAATTGAATACGTGATTTCGGCCAGTTTCGACGGAGGCAAAGTTTACTCGTGCCGCGCGCTAATCCCGAATTTACAGTGCGAATTATATCGCGAGCCACCACCTCCAACTCGACCAACTCGATCCGCCGTCCTTCTACCCTCCTGCTGTTCGCCTCGTTTTCACTGGGGAAATACCACATATACCGCACGTATGTACGATGGACGAGCACAGAAAGAAAGATAAAAGAGAGAGAGAGAGAGAGAGAGAGAGAGAGA